ATATACTTCCTCTGTCACATAAGTAAAGTCCGTTATGATTACACGGCCATTTAGCCGTGTCCGATGTCTTAGGCGATACTTTTTTTGAAATCTTGAGCGTTTTTCGGGTTGAAACCCATATTTCTTTTTTTTCTTGCGCACTACCCCGCATGCACTAGCGGCTTACAAAAAAGTGGTCAGGCCAAAAAAGGCCGTATTTTGCCCTTTTCCATGAGGGTGGGGGTGGGGGCACGAAACGAATCATACCAAAAAATGACAAGAATTATCCCGAACCCTAAACCCAAGGTTACCTCTACACTGAACGATCCATTTCGCGTCCTCCCATACAAAAACCAACATAGTAGTGAACCCACACTAAAATCAAGACATTTTCGATGCCCACACTACCAAGACACTTGGGGGTGCCACACTAAAAATCAAGTTACTTGCGGGGCAAAGCCGACAGGCGTAGGGTCCTAACCCTACCCCCCCCTTGTACTCAACGACCCGTGTCGCGTCCGCCCAATGTTTTCTGGGGTAATCACTACCAACGCCGTACCGCTCGGCGAGGGGGCCTAGAAAGCCCTTGGGTACCCTTTCTTTGCCCGGCGGAATCGCCAACGCTATCTCCACCGCCATGGCGTACCGACGACCCAACGATACTTCCGCACCCCGCTTACGACGTGGGGGTGTCTGGGCGTCGTCCCCCATGATAGCTACGTCGTTGTGGTGGTAGTGGGTGCTCACACAGCACAAAGCTGCAAATATTCTTTAAAATATTCTCAAAATGTTTCCAAAAAAATTCCAAAATATTCGCAAAATAGTCCCGTATTTGACACACTAATTCTCAGTAATTGTGAGTCGGATTTTTTCCTTTTTTTAAGTTATGTGCGTAACAAGCGCTTTCCAACAAACCTAACCAGAGCTTCAGGAACACCTTGGCTTGTGAGGTATGTAAATTCCCCCATAANTCCAAAAAAATTCCAAAATATTCGCAAAATAGTCCCGTATTTGACACACTAATTCTCAGTAATTGTGAGTCGGATTTTTTCCTTTTTTTAAGTTATGTGCGTAACAAGCGCTTTCCAACAAACCTAACCAGAGCTTCAGGAACACCTTGGCTTGTGAGGTATGTAAATTCCCCCATAACGGACTTTACTTGTGTGACAGAGGAAGTATAATCACTCAACACGTCTATGTGCCCGGCAATCTCCTACATCACTCAACCTGTGAGGTTTCCGTAAGCAATCCTCACTCAACGCATCCACCATGCGTCACGCGTCTTTGGTAGCGCATACTATGGGGGCTATATTTGGGGTGGCGTGTTTTACAGCGCTTTCCAACAGGGCCAACCCACTTAGGTCTAGAATGGAACGGGGGGGGGCAAGGGGGAGGCTTGTTTTACAACGTCGTTGCTAAGCGACGAAAACCCAACCCCGATGGCAAACACCGGGGGGGGGGGGGGGGGGCCCGTTTGATAGGTCTGTTGTTTTGTTTCCAGAACTAAAGGTATTTATGCTTTCTCGTTTGGGTGACCTCTCTAGACTACAAAGATAAAGTTCTACATATGATGGTTCTTCCGGCTGAGTGTATTGTTCAATATTTAACCTTCAGCAGAAGGCTATTGTATTGTTGCTGCAAGACGAGACCCGAGAGGGTATTCGAACTTAAGACGACGGACGTGAGCGCAATGTTGATACAACGTCGGTTTTGGATTTGATTCCTATTTCCTGTTGATGGGGTACAGTAACTGAATAGACAGAGTTGATTCCTCGCCGCTTCGTGCCGCTGCCTTGTAAACGAAGAGCTCCGGGATTCTGTTGTGATGCACTTCGTTTCGTCAATCAAGTGTGTGCTCACGGCGAACACGCAGCAAACGTTTCGCCGACGCGATTGTCTGATGACCGGGACGTACACAGTAGTAAAAAAACACCTCTTACAAGAACGAGAAAACACTGCTTACAGTCTGTGCAACTGCAGCAGCAGTAGTGTGACAATGCTGTTCGTGCAGGAATAATTAGGTACCACGGTGCGTGCACGCGATGAATCCATTGCTCTGCATATATATTCATCCCCGGGACACTTACATGATAGATATTTAGAGATTAAACCCTTGTGTGTGGGTGTTTTGCGAGAAATGAATGAACGGCCTGAAGAATCACAAATAAAATAACAGGATGGTGTGACAACGGCTCTGGGACCTCTTATATCGGAACCCCCTCTTATATCGGTGCAAGAGGGTCGCCCTCGTATATCGGAGTCCTCTACAGCAGTGGGGTACCCTAACTCACCCTTTCGTGACTACTGTGTTCTTTCTGG